GGGAGTTATAATGGTGTATAGGTCGGAATAACAGATTGCTAATTACGAGAACGACGTGAAAACTACCGCGACGTTCATCACATCGGGCATGCTGAAACTGCATCCAAAGTCTAGGTAGTTTTGATTAAGTTTCTAACGGATGGCTGGATTCGTTCTAGGATCCTGTCAGACGTCAGGGAGGTATTCGCGCGTTCATTCACGGGCGAGGAATAGGGTGAAATTGGAGTTGAAGTGCCTTCGCGGAGCCGGACAAGTCCGTCAAGGGCCCGTAGGTAGATGGAAAAGGTCGCTCGGGATGAAAAATAAGAGGCGGGAATCCTTCGATCGACTCTTATATACCTTCATCGAGAGAGCGCTGCAGATAGAGGAATTCAGTGTTCGTCTTACTTCCATTCATCGTTCTTCTGTATCCTTTTTCTCTCCCCGCCCTTATAGCTTCCGTCGTCTTTTATTTTTCGATTGCCGTATATTGAGTAAAGCTCGCGGTGCGATAGCGCTACATCGATCGCACGGAATTTCGATTGCATTGCGGAAAATTTCATAAGAGCGGTTACTTATCGCGGATTTTACAATTCGTTTTAACGTTTCTCGATATTTCGTAACGGCTCAATAATAACGCGGGAATCGAACGAAATCTAGCGCATCAACTACTCGTCTTGTGTTTCTTTTTAAAGAAAGATTCGTGAGAAAAGCTTAATGTGATTTTGTACAAGAATTTATTTTCTCTCAGTCGTGAAAAACTCGTCGATCAAAAGCGCGTCGGCAATATATCCTTCGTCGGGAAAGCGATAATTCTATTCGTACGCGTTCTATCGCCAGAGAAGTCCCACCCACGTTCCACTTAATTATTTTCCTAGAAGAGACGATGATTTTTTCGTTGTCTGAGATTCGCGTACTCTTCAATCGCAATCTGAGAACGTCGGAATAGACTCTTGATGGGTCTTGAGAACAAGATCCCAAGCATGGTACGTACAACGTTCTTCGAAAGAGACTCGTGTCTGCTCATCTATTGAGGCGACGTCGATGGTATAGAAGCACGCCGAAGTGACGGGGTAAGGGGTCGAGGGTGGAGAGAAGCGAGAGTAGGAATGGTAGGATACGATGGGGAGGCGCTCGTGCTTGGGACAACGAACCGATGGGATAGACTCTCGCAAAGACAGAGAGTGGGTGGTACGTTGATCGATTCCTCCTGCGGTTTTGTCTAAGGGGGACTTATTGACTTTCTGAAGACGCTCAGCACCGGAGGATCACCGTGCATCGCCGAGGATGCACAATGCGGCGTCAAGTACATAGCTTCCTGCGCGAATGTGTGCACCGCCACGATCCCTAGGTAAGATCACCCATTGTTTTCCGTATTCCTCCCATCCCAACCGATGTCTCGATTTTCGATTTCGAGTGTCCCCCGCAACCGATCACCGAGATCCGCGCCTGTATGTCGCGCGCGAGCGCAAGCGGAGATCGAGCTTTATCCCTCGCGAAGACGACGCGACACGCGCGGTCGGATGAACGGCTGAAACACGGGAGGCATAGCTTTCCGGGCGCATCGAATTCCGCCGTCGAGATCGAATTAAATCGACAAACCGGCGACGTCTGCTCGCGACGCGAAAACGTATTGTATTTTGACGAATGGTATTCCCATGTTGCGAGCCCACACCATCATCCCGCGTGAACGCCGCAATAAAACGACGCGGAATAAACATTGAATCGATCAAGAGGGAAAGGCACCATTTTCATACATCAGACGGTTCACGTGTCGGAGTCATTTATCACAAGTGGCGCTCGTGCATCCACCGCGCGTGCGAGATATACCGACAAGAAAAGTCATAAGTCTTCCTTCATCGGCTTAATCGCATCCTTCGTGCTATATAACTGAAACGCTAGCGCGCGGGCGCTACCATTTTTCCGCGGAATTATTACGATATCGGGTGGAATGCGACGCGCGGAAAGCGGGGGGGGGGGGGTGGACGGGAGGAAAGGGCGAAACGAGGGTGAGTGATTCGGAGGGTGAGTCGCCGCTCGGCAACCGAATGTTTGCACGTCCGTCCTAACAAGAACGTACGACTTGTTTTGATTCACTGTCGGTGGTTGAACAACGGGCAAACGCAAACCGAAATAGGAATGCTCCGTGCGGCCCGAGCCCCGAGCTCGGCGGAAGCTCCGTGTTACAGGCTCGTAAAAAGCGGCCGACAGGGCGGAATTAAAGGAGCGACCACAAAAGCGTGGTCCGACATGATACTCCGATAATTTTGTAGCCTCGCGCGCGTTCCTAGGAGGGCGGCGACAGAAAAAGAAAGGAAACATCACGGTGGAACAAAGTCGCACAGGCCGCACGATGGTGCCGACGCCGGTGTAACCGGATGCCTTACCCGTGCTGGCCGCCGGCCAAGCCTCGTAAATCCCAAATTACAGGACGAAAGTACAGATTTCGTCTGTTCGCGTCCACTGCGGGAATTCTAGGCTCTTTAACGAAAAATCCGGTCACCCGCTCATCAGCGTCGCCGATTAGTTTCGTTTTCGCGATCGATTCACGGCTGCGAAAATCTGTGGAACTCGATACAAGCATTATCGTTGTATCTTATACCATATATTAGTAGCTTCTATCTTTTCCAATGAAATTATATGAATCTGCCGTCTTTCATTTTAGTCAGATAATACATCGCTTTTAAGCGTCCATTATAGTCTTTAATCTTTATGCGCATTAATAAAAAGCACTGTTACAGTAATGTAATTCGTTAGCTTCGCTATAACAGGGAGTAATCAATTAAACTTGCCAGGTTTACTTGGAAAATAAAAAAATCAGGTTATCTCGGGGAACAAAATGTGTAAAGACCGCGTAAATAACAGTCATAAATCTCTGAGTATTATTTCCAAAATTTTGTACAATTACCCTGATTATTTCATTACTCGCAGTTAATGTCATCGAGGAATTATATTTGTATTTCCATCAAGCAATTCATTTTGAAAAATATCCCTCATTACACTGGCAGCGAGAGTGAGTGAGTGACAGAAAAACAGAGAAGAGAGAGAAATAAAGCGCGAGTAGTATTTCGGTAGCGAGTCCTCTTGACAAGGAGTTTTGACGGGAAACAAAATCGGAATGGCTACGCTCGACTTGAGTCACCGCATCTAAACAGGAAGAAGGTGAAACAGATGCCGAGGGGATGACGGAGCAAAGGAGGAATGAGCTTTTCGACTGTACATCAAGCGGAGCGAAAACATAGGAACGCGTTGAAATGATCTAAAGGGCGGGTTTCCGTTTGAGTTAAGCTCACAAATTCGCCTCCAGGTCGACGAAGAAGAGAAAAGCCAAGGGATGGGGTAGGATGGAGAAGTGTACCGCTCTTCAGCGCGGGGTGACACAAAGGAGGAGCCTTCTAGTGGTTGAAAGAGGGCTCTGAAGGCACCAACGGCCATTATACCGAGGCGATACATCGCGAACGTACTTCCACCCTCCACTGTCTGTTTCTTCTCGAATCGCCTGCGGATAGCAGCGGAGAATCCTAGTAGATCCCGGTGTGAGGCTTTCCGAATAGATGAGGGAGAGAGAGAGAGAGAGCCCCATGTACTTGTATAACCACGAGTACGATTGAAGAAAAAGACCAAGTACCGCGAGGCAGATAACACTAAAGCCAATAGCGTATCGCAAATATGAATTTGCGCTCGGGTAATAAAATTGTGATAAAATGCCGCGAAGTTATATGCATGCAATTACATTATTCAATATATATTCAAGAGGTACGGAAAGGAAAAAGTATATCTTTTCATCTTCTTATTACCATGTAGCAAATAATCTTGAAGGGATACGACGAGAGCGTTCGGAATTTCTCTTTCGTATTAAGCGAATCTTTCCAGAATTGCCAAATCAGACGCAAGATGAAAAGCAAATAGATAAAGCTACCTCATATGTACTCCTGGCTGAGAACATTGTTAATACACGATTGTTAATATAGCAATTCATGTATAATCCCTTTCGAGCACCAAAGGTTAATAGGGAACACGGATTACCGATTACCGGCGTCGGCGACAACCATTATTCCTCAATCGAATGACGGAATAGTCAATGTATCGAGAGCAACAGGATACATTATGGACGCGTCTCTTGCCCCTGACGCTACGCTCATATCCATTATTGTTATTTCCGTTTGATAATTTCATTTCACACGTGACCTCGCGTCGGCGCGGCGGGAAGATGCGGGGAAGACGCGGTATCAGAGCTTCAACATCGTACACTCCGATATCTTCGAGAGAAAGCTCGATAATACCGCGCAAAGGAGCCGCTAAGAAACATTCTGAAGATATATCAGTCGACGTTCGGAGCCCGGATAGAATGGCGGCTTTAAAACTCGATGTTCTCTCCCCTCCTCTTTAGTTCTACCCTAGACAGTCCCGTCCTCCTTTTCAGACAGATACCTACGATAACCTGCTGCTCCTGGATTCGACATTATAATGGGCATCGTAGGCGTTCCATTTCCGTTGCTCTTAGAAAACCTCGTCTTTCTTTTGAAGAAGACGACGCTTTCCTTTACATCGTACCTCGGTCGCCCTTTTCCCGTTTCATTCGACGAGGCGTTTTCCATGCAAGATACAAAACTTTTATAGTTATACATCGACAGATATTTGAAGAAATTTATGTCATTAAGTCGTATAACACGAATGATATTTTAAACTATGTGTAAAGATGGGTACGACGGAAACGATATCGTTAAAATATGCGTTCTGCAGATTGCTTGATTATACATAACATTATATAATTATGTGAATGATAAATAGATCAGCAGAAGGAAATATCACAGAAATTTTGAACATTTCCAGCTACGTTATTCACGCACGAAAGTTTCGCCCGCGAAGGCGTGGTGCATTTTTCTTGATTCCTGCCTTCCGCTGTAAGGAAAGCTCGCTTCAATATACATATATGTTCTCATTTACCTTTGGTCTTTTTGTTCTCTATTCTCCCTGCCTTTTCTGTTCTTTTCAGCGGAGATATAAAAGGAAGGAACACTTTCCTCGAAGTTTATTTCTATAATTCTCTATAAAAAAGTGTAACTTCAGAGAACCGTTATTGACGACCAACGTAACGAAGGAAATTAAAGTCGTTCCTGGATGGATAGTTCTTGCAATGAGGTTAGTTAAATCTTCAGCCTCCGATGGTATGTAAATTCCCGCAATTGGCTTTAACTGACTATGGTTCGCGTTCGATATGTAGATTTCGTTTAACCTCTTGGAGTATGAATTATGTTCCAGCGATAAGAGCGCCCGCGGTTTGATACTCCACCAAGATTATATAAAGACGATAAGACCGGAAGTTTGTTGACTTAAATATAACCGCTTTTGTACTAATTTAATGACGTCACAAATACGCGAACAGGTAAATTAATAATCGCAGCTTTTCCTTCGATAATAATCTTGTTACCGAAAATAATTCATTTAAATATAATTATAATATCAGCAAAATAATACCTCCTTTTTTAATGTATAAATATATTAAATATTAACCTAATTTTGTAATAATTAACATTTTTTATTCACAGAGAACTGTCTTGGCAATAGTCACACCAAATATGGCAGTTTTGCTCGGCACGTGTGAGGCAAAGTTCACGTGCCCAAATGAATTCTGCAACGTGGTGCTTTTTGCAGCAGCCTGATTTCCAGTCACTCGTTATATCACAGCTTTCTTCCGTGTCAAGAATATTCCAGACGTACACAGCATTTAAGGCTACAGTACCTGGCCCCCATTGAGAAAAACAAAATAGAGTTTTTCTTCATGTCACAAAAGAGTAATATATAGAGAACTTATCAAAGTATAATTGTGAAAATTTTCTCCTTTCCTTTTTTCTTTTACTATGAGATTATATTTTACTGTAATGTACGTTATAAGCTTTCCGACATTGTAAGATGTAAACGTTTCGCAATGCTACGATTATAATTTTGTCCCGTTTTACACTAGTTAATTATCGTACGATCATCTGTTTTCATTCTCTATGTGATTTTTGCGTTAACCTGTGAGGCACTATTTTACCTATATAAACTATAGCTACAGCTGTAATTATATAATTATATTTAAGGCAATTCAAATTGTGTGATTTGAGATGATATCTCATAGTGTTACTGTTCCCGTGATAGTTCCTTGTATGTAAATGCGATTGAATTCCGCAAAATGAGGCTGAATTTACACTAGATAGATAGAATGAGTTTGCTCGCATACATATTGAAAGTTTATTTTAGTACATTTGTTTAAATGATTTTCTGTTAACATTAAATACAGGTATTCACCGGCATCTGTATTGCTATTGTGGTTATTTACTTCCGCGAGAGCAAACACACTACCCATAATCGTACATGGGAACATGAATTACATTCAATATGTCATATAGCGGGTGTGCAATTAGCGCGAAATAGAATATATGCTTGAATTGTTGTGGTACGCGCTTACGCAAATTTTTCGATAGTTAATCAATCTTCGTCATGAATATTAAGAACGGAAGGTTGAAATAAGATTAAATTTGCTTGCGGCGTTTCTAAATTAAATGAATAGAGCAGATTACCTCATATTCGCTTCTTCTGTATCCGTCTTCGCGATTTCTTTGTGACGAATTAAAATTTTTCTCTCCTCTGTTTTGTGCTTGATTTAATATTATTATTATGATTAGTTCGTGAAATTTTATCGCTGCCTATTTGCGTTTCCATTTTATTGTCTCTCGAGAAAAACAAAAATATTTTCGAAATTGGTTATCGTGAAAAAGTTTATACAGTGAATATATAGGTACAAATCAATCCGAGGAGCATTTCATATAATATGTAATGATTTATTAAAAAGAAATAAACTGAATGTTTAATTTAAAAATAGCAATGTTGATTGGTTATAATCAACGTTTCTTTTAGACTGCAGAGGAAACAGCAGTCCAATGGCAACAGCCAAACCAAATATAATGGCTTTCCAATATACCAAATTCTGCAACGTGGTACATTTTTTAGTGGCGTGATTTCCAGTTGCACGCTATAACTTAGCTTTGCGATTCGTGTCGAGAATATTTTAGACGTATGCGACACTTTGAACTGCAACACGTTATTCAAGCATTTGTTTCAAGGAACGCGACGTTAAATATTCAACGTCGCGCATAACGAAACACATCATGGCAAATTATAAATCACAATCTCACGCGCGCCGCGATCAGGCACACTTATAGCCGTGCGTACGTCAACGTCAGTTAAACAAGGATGAGGGGAGTAACGGAGGCCCCCGAATCCGCGAAGGGTGACAAGTTCGGTTTCAGCCTCGTGCTATAATTTGTGACTGATAATGTCACTCCCCCGGTGGAATCAACTTGTTAACCCACCCCAGTCCCCCTCAAATGGATCATCCATACTAGAATTATAGTGTTATATATATATGGCGTGTCGTAAACCTATTCCAAGCTCGCAAAGATTACGTTACGTATGTACTCAATAATGTAAAGGAGCACGGTAAATTCTTATCCGAGGTATATTGTGAATACATACGAAAGAAATTCGCTTGAAAAAATTTCTAATTTTGTTTTTTTCTATTTTCAGGTTTTTTTTATTCTGGTTTTTATTTTTTTTTATGCATACTATTTTTATTCGTCTTCATTAAAATGGCACGTCTTCGAGAATCTACCCTAAAATCTCGAACAAAATTCTGTTCTCACGGCACGACATTCTATTTTCAAGCTACGTCTATTAATATTTTTCCACTTTCCAGGATTGCAATTTAATCAATAATAAAATCTCCGCGAATACAAATTGTTCGCTACAGGAGAAAGCTTCTATTATTGCGATATATGTGAGAGATGTCCGAGAAGATTTATATTACTTGACACCGCAGACGCGCGCTAGGCGCGCGCTATTTGGCTTTAATATATTATACTATTACTATTACATTTTACACTATTAACTCCTTGATACACAAAACTGTCAAAGTATGCGATGACAAATTCTCACGAAGGAAAAGAGGCCTCAATTCTTCGATAAAAAATAAATTCACTCAGATAATATGCCTTTTTTAAGAGTGGATATCTTTCTAAATTTCTCCATTAGACATTATTTCTCACAAAGATATTCACATATATCGCACTAGAATTATGTAGGACATAGAATTCCCGATATACATTCACGTGTTTCGCGAACGGATCACCTAGGTAATTAGCAGCTGGGTTAATTTGTGCCTGTGTGCGTATTGAGGAATTAGCTTAAGGGGTAGACCACGAATAATTGTTAGTTGAATTACAGTGCTATTCTACTGGGCGAACTTTCTGAGGTCGAGCAAACCAACTTTGGAAAGCACGTCGGTTACGTTGCTGAATACGCGCGTCGCGTTTCTCGTCAAATGAAATAGTTCAACAAGTATTTTATTTGTCAGGTAACGCAACAAATATAAAATGAAATACGAGTGTCTAACAATAACACAATTATATAAGCGTAAATTATTCTCAACAAAAAAAAGTAATTCTGTTCGGAAATTAAAGTGCATACTCATATCACTCTACAGTAACAAGATTGCTTCGAGAATCAGAATGATTGTTACACGCAAGAATATAACGTGCAACAAATTAGACAATTTGTAGATTATCGCAGATATATTCTTGTGTGATTATTAGTTCCATAAATACAAAATATTTTTCAAAGGTCTCGTTAAGATTTTTCGATCATCACTTTGGATCTTTTTATTTGTTTCTAACTATACTGTAGATAAACATAGGCGCAACATGAAGACGCTCGACGAAATAGAGAGATTACTTTTTTTGATGAAATCTCGAGCTAACGCACCTCGTAACCACGTACCATTACAGATGATGATGCTATACATCCAAGGCGAAGAGGTGGCATCATCCAGTTATTTTCCATAAAAAAGAGGAACTGTATATTTACGAGCAGCGCGTAACCATAAAGGCCTAGTATCAGTTGAAATATTCTTTTTCTCGCCGAGGCGAGAGAGAGAACGGCCCAGGAGCGAAATTTCCAGCTTTTCGACCATCCTGCTAAGCTAAACGCGACTGAATGGTGCGCACGAAGAATATTCGTTGGTAATTGGCAGTTTCGTCGATTGCTATTAGTACGAGCGATTATACGTTTGGAGGAGGAGTTAAGTGCACGAGAGAGATGATTGGAGCACATGTCCGTCCGACAGGAATATTACCATAACGACGACAATCGTCTCTAGCCAAAGCAATTACCGCGCGCAAGTTATGGCCGCGTGATACGGTGGATGTACACGTGAGGTCGAAAGCCCCGTACCTACTGGAGATTATTGATCATCGATCGGGGGAGAGGTCGGAGTGGCCGGGCGTCTCCGGCCGAATCCGCAAGAACGCCCTACGCTACAGAAAGTTATTACCCGAGGCGTTCGTTACGAAAATTAGATTGTACGTGTATTTGATCGAGCGGATAATCTATTGATCGGCGTTTATTCTCGGCCTCAACGCCGCGAAAGGCTCTCCAGTTAAATCGATAAAATCAAACTGCGGCCGTCGTTGCGCGGTGCGAGTCGAAAATAGACACTTTTAGAATTCACTTTAATATGAATAATTTTCGATTCGTTATATCTTCAGAAGTTTAATTTCTGCGAAAGCTTAATTTCATTCTCCTTATCTAATTCCAAAGAAATGACTATTAATTCCTCGACATTTTCGTCGACACAAATCGACTGCAAATGTCACCGAGGAATGAAGTAACTCGTCTATTTTCGGGGACACCGTGTATCCACTGTACATGTAAATGGGCACATGCACAGATCAATATCTCAGGAGAATGCATTCTCGCCCTTCGGGCGAACGGAGCGCGGAGGGGAGGAGAAGGAGGAGAGGGAAGGGGATGTGTCCTATCTGTTAAACGTCTTTTCTCAGTCGACGTTGCCGACGTGGCTCACCCCTCTCCGTCTTTAGTCTTAATCCTTCCGCGGCGCAAACAGGGGTAAGAGACGCTTATACATCCTGTTAAACCGCATTCAGGCGTCGGCGGTTAAGGCAGGCGGAATTATTGCTGCGAATTAGCTCCCCCTTGCCGTAAACTTCTTCCGACACCCAGCCGTCGCCTCGGCGGAAGGAACTTGCGGGCGAAGATAATAACGTTAATGCTGCAACGTGCAGGAGGAGAGATACGAATTAATACGCCGCGCGAGAATACCGCCGCTGCATTTTTCGTCGGCACGTTTCATTTCGCGGAAGTGACCGACTTCCTCGCGCATGCATCGCGCGGTTTACTTGCGTTTCGCAAGTGACGCACTCTCTTAAATTGAATCGATGAAAATCTCGCTGATTGAAACAGAGTAACATGGAATTTCATCGAGGAGTGAATAAGTGTCTCATTTGTCTTAAGTGCAAACATTAACACTTTCTCCTTCCGTCTTGTACTATTTCATTACGGGTAGTAGAATATTTGTAAGATGTAACTTTTAAAGCTTTCTCTATTTGTTTCGGATTACTAATCTGAGATAGTTATTTTTGATTGTAAATTATAGACTAGCTAATTATTATAGATTAATAGTATTATTGATTATATATTATTGGATATTATATATTATTGATTACAGATAATGGATTTGCTAATTACTTTGGATTGCTAATTAATAGCGAGATATCCTCGTACCTGTAGAATGAAATCCGTAATTAGTGTCCAAACTCAGGTTCATGTAATACACTTTTTATGCTGTCAAGCTTACTATTCGCAGCTACTAT